ATTTTGCTTTAAAGAGGAAGTAAAATAAATTCTCAAATTCATGTTTTTTTGTTTTATTTTAAATGCTCACTAGACTTATGTTTATAATATAATTTGTAATAGAAGAACAGTGTATTAATGAGGGAAGAATCCAGTCTACTGTATGTATGTGTGTGTGTATATAGAGTATGTGTGTGTGTATATATATATATATATAATTAGTTGCTTGTATTTCAAAAAATGTATTGTAATATATTGTGTAAGTTAAATCTGAAGCACTACTAAAGAAGCATTCATGTCTGTACTTGTTTAGGTGAGTGACCCTGTCGCTGTGGAGTTTAGCCTAAACACACAGATGTTCCTGTTGTCTAAGAAGGCGTTGTGGCTGTCCGATGGATCTATGGGTTTCGGTCAGGAGAGTGATGCGGCTTTTTCTGCGGGTATGTCTACTGGAACACATACTGTATAACTTAATCAATTCAAGAGGCTATTTCTTTAAGCAATTGAAGGTATGTAATTGCTTGATTGAATGTTAGCAACTACCCAGAGCACCATATAATAGGAACCACCTAGCAATGCACTGAGAACCACATGAACCACCACATAGCAAGCATTGTAAAGCATGACAGCGGGTTTTTTGGATGGACAAATATTAATTATGTTTTCATCAGAACGTGTAAAAATCTAGGTTGTTTAAGTTAATGTTCTGGGTTATACTGACTCCTCGAGGCGACACAATCTATGGACGAGTGATGGTGGACCCTGTGCAGAACCTAGGGGACTCTTTCTACTGTAACATCGAAAAGGTGTATCTGTGCACCGGCGCTGACGGATATGTTCCTAAATACAACCCCGCCAAATCTGAGTTCGGATGCCTTGCAGACTCTCCCTCCCTGCTCTACCGATTCAAAATCATTGTGAGTATGTTAGCAGTATTGTTATTGTCATCTAAAACTAAAAAGAATGAAAAGAATTTTCATGAATTGAAATCAAATTTTACAGCTTTTTAAGTTTAAAATTACTAACACAAAAAATGTAATAAATATAAATAAAGCTAAATAATGATGTTAAAAAATGAAACAAATTCTATAATAGTTTATAAATAATACTAAAATAACTATAAAATAAATAAAATACATCAAATTAAATCTTATTTTAATACATTTTTATTGCATAATATAATTGAAATACATTCATTTATATACTTTTTAAAGTGTTCTGTTGAGAAATTTTTGTCTAATAAAAGTCCCATGACTTCACCTTGCTTCTAGGACAAAGCCCAGCCCGAGACTCAGGCCAAGAGTTTTGGAGACATGAGTTTCAAAGCCCAGCTGGCTGTAGACGACCCCTCTGCCCTCTCTCTGGTGAAGCAGCCAGGATCTGACGGATTCAGACTGGATTCTACTCCCCTTTTCCAGGTCTAATCCTTTTAAACCTTCATTACTTATGGTGTGATTACATCCACTGGAGTACTGCACATCTGTGACATCACATGCTGGATTCCTGTCATTTAATAGGTCAATCAGCATGACTTGATGAAATCCTCTTGTCCTTCTGTTCTGTAGGTGGCGGTCGGGAGAGAGTGGTTCATTCACACCATCTATACTGTGCGTTCAAAAGACAACGCCAAGCGTGGGATTGGCAAGCGAAGTGCGGAGTACCACTCAATAACATCAGGTGACCTCGTCCGAGCGGAGGCCAGAGGACGCTCCAGACGGGCCAACAGAGACGTCCCAGAGGATATCGGACCCGACAACAACCGAGGAACGAATATCATGCGCGTCGCTCTGGACCGCAGGCAACGGCGCTCTGCGCCCGGGGAGGAGCTGCTCGCGGATGGACTGTCTCCACGGGAGCTCAGTGGGCGAGATCCCAAAGAGGACGCGGTAACGGTGGCGGGAGTCCTCGTGGGACTGCTTCTCACCATCCTCGTGGGTGTAGTGTTGGCACTGATGGTTCGCTCAAGGCGGACACCTGCAAAAAAGGCCCCAAGTGTCTCGTCCAGCCTGCAGCCTGTTATAGTTCGATGTAGCCTTGATAATGGAGACAGCTCGGAGGTCTGAAGGACTAATGGACTACTCGGAGACTGTGCTGTTCTCCTTAGTCATTCATCGGATCCGTTTGTTTTGTTTTCTTTGTTTTAAACAAGTGCCTCTCACAGGTTTTATCTTACCGAGATCTCACGACCCAGTTCATCACCAGCCCAAAGAAATCGCCATCCACTTCTCATGCCATGGCCAAGTGACATTGTATCCTTTCAATCTGAATTTTGCTCGTCCAGCAATTAATTGTCGAGGTGTGCCAGGTGACGTGGTTAAAAAAAAAAGACATTTAAATCGATTCAAATAAATCAATTTAAAAAATAATAATATTAATTAAATCTTATTAGTTAAAATAAAATTTTTAAATTTTTAAAAATAAAATAAATAACTGTAACAAATAAACGAATGTATCCTTTGATACATTTAATTTAATCATTTTTAGGTGTTTTAGGTGAATTAATTTTTTTAATTAAAGAAAGAAAGAAAGAAAGAAAGAAAGAAAGAAAAAAAGAATGAAAGAATGAATGAATGAAAGAAAGAAACAAAGAATCTCTATTACCCTGAGGTAATTTATTACTATCCAACCTTTAATTCGTTACTAATACAATATTGTGTGTATTTCTATACCACGGTGATTATTCAAAGTGTGTGAAAGTTCATCAAAACATTCTACATTTTAAAGAAACTCCCTTTGAGAACCCCTCACTAACTTTACTATTTCTACCACTTTGTTGATAATAAAGAGGCATTTACAAAAAATACGTGGTCTGAGAATCATTGTTAATGAAATGGTGCACTCAAATGAACTGATCACAACACTGACACTGGTATTGTGTATTTCACCTTTATCTCAAGTATTAAATATTTACTTGTATTACAGCATTGGCTACTGTATTTTGGGATATGTGATGTCTTTGGAGAATATGACTTCTTTTCTCAGTGTGTTTAACATATATGCTGGTTTTTAACAGCAAGTGCCATGCTCTCAATAGAGAAATGCTGAATATGCATTTCATATCAAACTGTCAAATAGTTGTTGTCCGAAAGTTTACATTGTCTATCAGATGTTGTCAAATTTCATCTTGTTGCTGCTGTTTTTATTAATATTTGTTTGTTATATCATTTTAAGCGTTAGTATTCATGAGAGCCGCATGCATTAATTATTGCTGTGTTTTAAAATAAGGGGGAAAACTGTGACAGCGGAAATCCCTCAGATTTCCACATTTGTGTTTCACTGTGTTTTGCAGTCAAATCTCTTGCAGTTGTTTTTTTCCAGACCAGGTCCACTTTTGTATCAACCATCACATTTTTGACACTTCAAGGCTAGAGTTTGTGTATGCATTTAAAAACATATTCACGTTTATTAGTCTAGAACTGATCTATGAAAAACCAGCATCATGTTGTCAAATTCATTTCACCTCCAGACAAATATATTCCTCATCAGGCTGATAATATTTAAAAAAGAAATGTGCTATGCAATAAAATCGGTGGATTGTTCCCATTTTCACAGAGGATTGTGAGGCTGATTAACAGACATGAGCATGATGTTTTGGGCACAATGAAATATTCTTTGTTTGAAATGGTATTTATGGTGAGATATTGTGTTTTTGTACATGGTTCACAGCTAAGTATTTCCAATGCTAAAAGCATTTTTATGTACTGGGCCTTGAAGCACAAAATAAACAAGTCTTAAAACTTGAAAGTCTTATTACTGTGACGACAATGTTCTGTTCAGTTGTTCTTAAAGGGATAGTTCACCCAAAAAATGATAATTCTGTCATCATTTACTCACCCTCATGTTGTTCCAAATCTGTATTCTGCTGAACAAAACTAGATATTTTAAAGAATGTTGGTAACCAGACAGTTGAAGGTAGCCATTAACTTTCATTGAATTTTTTTCTTACTGTGGAAGTCAATGTGGACCATGAAACTGTTTGATTACCAACATTCTTTAAAATATCTTATTTTATGTGCAACACATACATTCATACAGGTTTGGAACAATAAGGTGGTGGGTAAGTGTCAGTGATGTGAGAGTTTTCATTTTTGCATAACCCTTTAATTCATAGTTATATAGGAATTTAATTGTTTTGGTGCAGAAATTGCTTAAACAAAATGAAATATCTGGATGTAAGTGTAAACTGGCTCATGGCAGCCATAGATATCCATGTCTTATGGCTGAGTCTCTATCGTCATCACCGGTGGCCATCTTTTCACAGGCAAGCTTTCTGGGGCTGTGTGGTAACTGATGTAAGACGAGTGATCAACAAGAACACAAACTCTTATCTAGTTTAAATCTTGTTTTACAAACTGTTTGGTTTCTTACAAACATTATTAACGTGGCTATGATTCTGTATTATTATTTATTTACACACTTATTGTTAGTAAGTATGCAGTGTCATAATAACTACATCTCTGACGTTTGAAACAAACCAACTCGTTTGAAAATCGGTAGAAAGTTGAGCAGGTTATGGTTATTTAAAAAGTACGCATCATTTAAACTCAATGTTAGAGTGAGCGACCTGCCTGTGACAAGATGGCCGCCAGGTGACCAGCAGGGCGGACGAGACATCTAGGCTTTATTATGGATATCTATGATGGCAGCACAAGCACAACAAGCCACTTTGTTGGATAAAATCATATTAATTGTGCTCGTATGACTTTTTAATGGTGTCATTTTTTTATTTATTTTTTATTGAAAAACAAAATAAAATATTTATACAGATGAATGGTATATAAACAGTCAATTTGCATGGAAAGGTGAACACTTCAGACCTATTCCTATTTCTTATTTCAAAGTCTTATAAGGAAATCAAAACATATTACATTTTCTTTTCAATAAGTAAAGGGTTATTAGAATTTTTAATGTATTTCTAAATATTAATGGCGCAGTGTATGCTGAACCGGTTCTTTGATAAGCTCTTCGAAAGAACCGATTCGCGCAAGAAGCCTTGATAACATAACCAATCAGAATTGCCATTTGCTGACTGGACCCCCACGTGAGTGGACCAGGAAGTGAGTAGAGAATGGGCTCTCTCTCTCTTCCAGGCCCTGTGTAAAACAGTAAGACTGTTGCTTGGGGAAACATGGCCACTGCCGGAGATTCGAGGGGAGAGCTTCAGAAGGAATTAGTCTGTTCTATCTGCCTCGATTACTTCGACGACCCTGTCATTTTAAAATGCGGCCACAATTTCTGCCGCATGTGCATTTTGATGCACTGGGAGGAAAATGGAGGCGATGATGTTGGTTACCAGTGTCCCGAGTGCAGGATGGTGCGTGGTTTGTTTTGATAAACGTTGCTACATCCTGGGTTGCTTAACGTTAGCTAAGTTACAGCTGCTTAAATTCACATAACGGGTTTACATACATTAACGTCTTAATCATGGCTCAAACCGACAGTCTAAATAATAACCGTACTTTGCTATGTTGGTAATGTTAGGTCGGTGTGATTACTCTGACCACGTTGATTGAATCACAAGATACAAATTGCCGCACGAGCGTTTTCTCAGTGCAGCACCAATACTTTTCTGCCTCGTAACGTTACATGACACTGTGTCCTTTTTTGCAGGTGTTCGCAAAAATGAGTTTCACCAAGAACTACCTGGTAAAGAACTTAGTGGATAAACTGAGCGACTTCGATTACCTGAAGACGTGTAGGCCCTCTGCACCCGCAAAACCCGTGAAAATGGACGGGAAATGTGAGCGACACCACGAGGAACTGAAACTGTACTGCCACACGGACAGAAAGCCCATCTGCGTGGTGTGTCGGGAATCCAGAGCGCACAGGTGAGGCTCTCAGTGGACCCCATATGTTTGTCCCACATTAGGCTTGTCTCAACCTACCGTTACCTAGACACTGAATTGATGGACAGACATGATGTCCGCTCAATCGGTTATAATGCATTGACCACTGTCTGAGGACCAATGCTCTTTGTTGTCAAAGTTTGCAATAAAATGGTCTTCGGAAATAAACAATACATAATTTTATTATTTTTTTATAGACACCACGATGTTGCTCCTGTACCCGAGGTTGTTGAAGACATGAAGGTTTGTACTAGATTCCTTTTTTCCTCAGAGTTTGTTGGTTTTTGGTAATTATTAGCCTTTCTGTCTCTATTGCTCTTTTGTGGTGTCTATTTTTCCTCTCTTCTTGCCCTACTTCCTGTTAATCTTAGTCTAAATGTCTGACTTGGCACTAGAAACCGTTGATGTTGTTTCTTGGCCAACCTTGGAGATAGAACAAAGACTAACTATCTGTCTAACTAATGCTGGATGTACATGTGGGGTTTAGCACTTTAAGTGTTTTTATTTAACAAACACAGACAGCCTTTAAATGGCTTGAAGAAGCACTTAGGCATCGTTTGCAGTCTTAATGTGAGACAATTGTTAGAACCAGTGTTCGGAACAGGGTGTGAAATGAACTCCCGTCACCTGCTTTTTGCACAGCAGCAGGTCATTTTTCTCATCTAGCCACTGTGGCTGATACACAGATGTTTGTGAGCCTGTGAGGAGATTTAATCACAAAGCCAAGATTCTTCAGGCTCAAATTATGAAAGAATGTTCGGAAGAATAATTTTTACCTCTTAGTCAAGACCTTAAATGAATTGAAAGTCTTTGGGATGTGTTGGAATAGACTTTACAGAGTGCTTGACATTGCCAATACAAGATCTTGACCAAACATTGATGCACCTCATGATGGAAATAACATCACATCAAATTTCTGGTCTACTCCAGGACATCACAAAGACTTCATAGGTGCCAATTCATGTGTGAAAATGATTTTCACAAATTGAGCCTGATGAATCCTGACATTGCCATTATGGAATATGACCATGATGTATCTTCCTACATGGATGTTTAAGAAATGAAAAGCTACACACTTCATCAATTCAGGTTAGAAGAACTGTTGCCAAACATGCTAGAAACAATAATTACCGAAATAATGATCCATTGACTTTTGCCTACGACTTTTTTTCTTTTGACTGGGTAGTGTATTAATAAAATATTATATTGTTAATGTATGTATTTTATTTTTAAACTAACTATCGTTGTATAATTCCACATATTATGGTTAATGTATGTTGTTAACCTATATGTTATTATTTATATATTATTAGTTGGATTACATATTAGAATTTGAATATATTTGGAAAATCAAAATGGCTGGTAAAAAAAAATAAATAATCAAAATGGCTGATAAAATTGTGCTTTCATCAGTAACTGTGGCTGGTGGGCAAGAAGTTAATTTCTTACACTTTTCTGGAAACTTCCACAAGGAAAGTGTGATGTATTTTCTGTGAATTATCTTTCCCTTTGGATTCTTTGTGACACTCTTCGCTCACAGCCAAAGGTTAAACATGTTTAAACATTTGATGTCTGCAATGCTAAACTCCCTCAAGTCTCATGTCCAGTTTCGTTATTGGAACTTTCGTATCTTTGCTGATACAGTAAGGTCCATATGTCCACAAAATCCCTCACAGAAATATTTCTCCCATTACTGATTGTACTTGCATAATAGTTTGTGCTGTAACACTACCCGTCTAAAGTTTTCTCTCTTATTTAATATGCAGAGTGAGCTCAAGCTAAGACTCATCAAGCTGAACTGGCAGAAATCCATGTGTACTAGAGTAAAGAGCACAGACGAGCAGGCCAGATCTGATGTCAAGGTATGAAAGCCTGATTTGTTCCCACGCTGACTTTGGGCATACAGATGACTCGAAATTGTTAGTTGTATAACCTGTTGAGGATTTATGATCCATGTTGAGGTCCTGATGTCGAATCTCAAATATTTCTCAACAGCTTAAAAAACAAGCCTTGAAGGAGAAGATTCAGGAAGATGTCGGCGCCCTGGTTCAGTTTTTGTTGGATGAGAAGGACGATCTGTTGGAAAGGTTGGAGGCCGAAGCGGTGGCCACTATCGGGCTGATCGATGCCAACCTGAAGCGTGTGGAGAGCGAGGCAGCCAAAGTGGACAAAGCCATCACTGAAATTCAAAATCACCTGAGTGACAGCGCTAACTTTGAGGTGAAGAAATTCAACAGCTGATATATTAGAAACTAAAATGTCCCTAATCACATTTGTTAAAATGAAGCCCATTTACGCCTCCGAGTAAAAACACAATAAGACAAATGTTAATTCTTATTTTACAATTGCAACTTTATTGATTGAAAAGGCCCGTTCGCAGCAAGAATGAAAATAATATTAGCTATATAATAACTATATTAGCATCCAAAAAATATCATCCAACAGTTGTGTTGTATGCTCCCTTACAGGTTGTGAACTATTCCTTTATGAATTTCTTCTGCTGAACACAAAAGAAAATATTTTGAAGAATGTCAGCAAGCAAACCCTAGTAAATGGACCCCATTGAGTTTCATAGAGGGAAAAAAATATTGGGTCCATCAACTGTCTGGTTACCGACATTTATCAAAATGTCTTCCTTTGTGTTCAGCAGAAGACAAAAAACAATTCTGGAAGTGATTCCTGCAATATTGTTCTTCTGTCGTTATCATTTTAGCTGTGGAGGTCTCTATTCTCGTAAAATTGTCCTTGTTATAACTTTATAGCTAGCTATAGTTATTTTCACAAGTATCGTCCTTGCTGTAAACCGACCTTTAGGATTTAGCATTAAGCTTTGTATTAGTAGACAATCTGTAGTATTTTCAAATTACCATGCTTTCCACCCTCATATCCCCCGAGACGAGAGATTTATGTATTTTTTTTGTCTGGAAAAAAAATCCTCCGATGAAGCAAAAATCGTTATTTTGCAATTTTCATTGTTTACATGCACACCTTTTGTTTCAATCTAACTGAATTTATTCCATTGGTGAATCTGAGGCCCTGTTTACACGAGAACGCTCGCGGGTGAAAACATAAAAATATTTTATCGGATGTGCCTTTCGTTTACACGGCGATGGCGTTTTGGGGGCTTAAAAACGCAAAAAAGTGAAACCACCCTCCAGAGTGGAAATCTTAAAAACGCTCCACCGCCGCGCTCCCGTGTAAACGGTAAAAACACAAAAGTTTGCTTGACAGTGAAGGTTGTACGCAGGCACGTGGACTTGGTGTTGTTGTAGTATGCACTCCTAGCCGCCTGAAGTGCATACTACATTGAATTTCACACACTTTTGCGTCACCATTTGCACGCGGATTTCCCACACAAAACGCTCGTCTAAACGCAGAATAAAAAGTGATGACGCAACGCCACTTTTGCGTTTTCTCTTCAAAATCGTTTCCGTGTAAACATAGCATGAATGTAGTCTGAGTGTAGTGTCGCTCATAGATAATCACGCCTCCGGCCTCGCGCCGTTCTCCCGCGGCCCTCACTCGTCCTGCTCGCCATAGCAAACATATTGAATGGCGACTGTAGAGCGCAAAAGCCAAATCCCGGTCATTTTGGGCGATCTCGAAACACATTTTCATGCAGACTCATCATGGAGACTCACTAGACTTGTTGTTTAACTACTGCGCTCTGTTACCGGTAGGCGTGGCCTCCTAGGGCAGCAAAGCAAGTGCATTCTGGGAGTTGTTGTCGTTCATCCACATAAGCCAAAAATACTTTTTCTGGCTTTTCTCAGTCTAGAAAGCTCCAAATTAAAACAAAAATTACACATTTCTAATACATAAATGACCCATTTTAAATACACATTCATCTTTCCAGAGGTGAAGTATCCCTTTAAATGTGACTACTTGTCATTTTGACAATTATGACAGAATATCTCGCTGTGTTTTTATATTGTGCAAATTGCGAGTTTTTTTTTTTAATTGACACTATATCTTCCAGTTCTCACTATGTGACATTATTAACATTTAACTTTTTCCCCCCTCCAGACTATCAGTAATTCATACTTGAGGTATGTAAATCTGTTAATTCCTAAACCTGTTAGCTAAATCTGCTGTGCTAAAAATCAATGTATTAGGGTTTTATCTCTCACAATGTGTTCTTTTTTTCCCCCCCATCACAGCCCGTGCCACGTCAACCTCGGCGTCCAGGCCTCTAACTCCCCTCCAGATTTCTCCGAGTTCACAGGACCCTTTCAGCTCATCATGTGGAAGAAGATGATGCACGTGTTACACACAAGTGAGTGCTATTGTTGCGACCACATTTACCATTGGCAAATTTTCAACAGAAAAGCTATATATGTCTGCAGAAAGAAAGCTGCTTGGTTTGAAAATGGCTTCCTTGTGAACGGTGCTTCATGCATTTGCAACATTATCAATAGACAATGAACCTTTTGTTTGCCCACAAAATTTTGCCATGTGAGAGATGTGGTGCCAAGTCATATGATTTGTTGCGAGTGTTAAGTTGACATGATGAAACGGCTAACCAGATGTTCCCTGTTTTCCAGTGCCCCAGAATTTGACTCTAGATTTAGACACCGCTCACCCCTCGTTGACCATCAGCGACTTTGACACCAAGGTGGAGGAGGGTCGCGTACGCTCCCAGGAGCCCGACATGCCGCAACGCTTCACTCGTTTTTTCGGGGTGCTAGCAACCGCCCAGTATTCCAGCGGCCAGCACTACTGGGAGGTGGACGTGCGGGACAAGGGGGTCTGGTATCTGGGCGTCACCACTGAGTACAGCAATCGCAAAGGTTTTGTAAACCTCTCGCCCTCCGCTGGCTACTGGAGCCTGTGTCTCCAAGACCGACTGTACGCCAACGAGGAAGACTCGCGTGTGCCCGTGGCGGACTACTGGAACTCCCCTCGTGTCGGCGTCTTCTTGGATTACGACCGGGGCCACGTTACTTTCTTCGACGCCGTCACTATGAAACGCATCTATAACTTTGTCACATACTTTGACGAACCTGTCTCACCCTTCTTCAGCCCGGGGAAAAACGACCCGGGTAGCCGACTACAAATATGTCATTTCTACTGAAAACGAAGCGATGCGTACATGCAGTTCGCAAGAAATAATAATAATAATAAAAAAAAAAAAAACGATAAATGTGCCTGTTGTTGCATCAAAGTAAACGTTTCAGGGCATTTTCCTTCCTGGAAGTAGGGAGGAAGTTTGTTTTTAAGCTCTGCTGTGTCTTTGGATTCAGTTGATCTGAATGAATTAGTTGCGTAGAGCTTTGATACAACATAATCTGAAGGAGTGAGATGAGTTTTTCTTGCTCGTGAATTATGATGTAGCCCCACTGAAATTCAGGTAGAGTGGCATTGCCGGATTTTACGCAAATGTCGACTTTAGCTGCTCTGTGTCGTCTTGTTTTAGACCTCAGTGTTGTCTTTTGTACATCAGTGTAGAGGTGAAAATAAGGACTAAATCAGGCCAAATATGTGAATGCTTGTTATCATTTCATTTTTGGGGGGAAATTATGAATTTTTTTTTTTTTTTTTTAATCACCATGTATTCTGTGTTATGGCATATAGTGACAGTTTTTTTCTCTCTCTATTTTACATTTATTTTCAATGTTTACATATTCTTTTTGTTGCAGTTTTCTTTTTAAGGAATGTATTTGTTTGACAAATAACCATGTTGCATAAAGACTCGTATTGTAATAGCTCAGACTGCAATAGGTGCTATGCAACTTTCAGTTTGTGAGTTTCCGACATTTGCTGCAAGGAACGTCCATTTAATTATGTAAATGAGTTTATCCTGAGGCTTTGTGCCGTTCATGTTATGTCATGTACCTTTCAAATCCATTATATTAATTTGAATCTATTATATTTGTTTAGCAGTAGTTGAATCTTTGCTGTGGGCTGATGGTGAAGAGAGGCTGAGTGTGTTTGCTTTAGTACCGAAACAAGCACAAAGGGACATTTCTGCACCTTTTCATTGAGCTCAGATGGTTTGTTGTTCATGTTGATATGTACTGAGCTAGTTTATATACTAGAACCGCAGCAGTCATGTGTTCAAAATGTCTTTTGAGCTGACTAAGGATCAGGAAAACACTGGAACAGCTCACTTCTGGATTTTAGGATGTTTTGTACATATGCTGTTAACTTGAACATGCTCTCACAACACTCCATGATAAAAGTTAGGATCTAAGTTAACATTTACTACATTGGTAATCATTCTATTTCCTCATAAGAAATGAGTTTAACTTGAAAACTTTGACTCTATATGTTTGGTGTACATATAAATTTGTAATTGGGCTTTCTTTTAATTGCTGATGTAAGAGAACTGTTACAACACATTTGGGCATAACTGCTGGATGGCACCATGAGTACATTTTACTTTTTATGAGATTTAAAACCACTGCAATGTTAAATGTTTTCCTCTACACTACGGTCTTCTAAAAAATAAAATATTACAACAATTGTTTAATTTTAGCATTTCATAGAACCAGTACGTTCCATTTTATATCCATATATAACATTTTTAAAAAGTGAATAATTTTGATTAATGTCTTTAAAGAGACAAAATATTATTTTCAAATGAGTAGGATAGGTTTTATTCCGAACTCGAATATTGTCCAGTGAAATGTACATACGATTGTTTCTTTGCTGTACACTATTTTTTTAAACACATTTATTTAATGATCTGTCCAATCCATTTATCATGCAGTGTCCATCCATACCAATGTAAAAATTAGTGTTCACACCACAAGACAATAATGTAATAGATTCTAAGATCCCTGCAGTTGTCAACATGAATGTCACCATGAAATTGACTATTCAAAGTATTATTTTTTTTATATTGCAGTATTTATGATTTATCTGTGTACATCAACATTTTTTTAACCCATTCAGACCCAATGTCGATTACAATGGATATCACATGTCAGCCCTCTTTTTTTAACTTCTGGATCATTTCACCTAGTTTAAAGCCTGCAGTCCATGAGATTGGACGTTTGTCATCCAATCAAATGCCAGTAAAGCTCTGCACGTAGTAATTATATATATATATATATATAAAAACTCTACATTGAAGAGAAGCATGGCAGCACTTCACTCCAAACACAGAAGCAAGCAACATTTTCTAAAGTGTATTTACATTTTGTATATATTTTTGCCAGTATTTCATAGTTTGTATGTAAAATAGAAAGATTGAACTTATTAATTAAAGTTAAAAATCGACTGTAGAATTGCACGTTTTAAATCAGGATTTTTTTTAAATGTGTCTGTCTAGGTTTGAAAGCTACTGAAGTCACATTTTCAGTGATGCTGATTGAAATTTCTTTTATAAAATATACATATATCTATATATATATATATATATATATATATATATATATATATATATATATATATCACAGTACCGATACATTTTTGAAACTTTTTCATGTGCAGAATATACAGTTCTGAAGTGCTTGAACATATGGCTGATGAAAATATCTCAGATGTTCACTTTATGTGGAGTAATGAGGAAAATGGAGATGTAAGAAAAATATCCATATTTAAAACTTTATATAGTAAAATAACTTCCAGCCAAAAGAACATATGGATTTGACTTAAATCTAAAGCCCAACTTAAATATGAATATTTTAAATATTTTATATTAATATATATTTTGCACTTTTATGATGGATAGATGCACTTTTATGGACCTTCAAAACAGAAACAACCATTTACAGCCAATATAAAGCTTGGAAGGGCCAGGACATTGTTTAAAATAACTCTGATTGTTTTCTTCTGAGAGAAGAATGTCATATACACCAAGGATGGCTAGAGGCCAGGGTGAATCATGGGCTAATTTAAATTTTTGGGTGAACTATGCCTTTGAAGGTATAGTTCAACCACAAATTATATTTGTCATCACTTACTCACCCTCATGTTGTTCTTGTTCCAAACCTGTATGAGCTTCATAGCCTACCATTTTTATGTTGGACACCATCCCACCTGCAATCTTTTGAATGGGTTTCGGGTAGTATATTTGATAGACATTTTAACTAAAGTTTCTGTCGTGATAAAACTATTTTACTGCACTCAGGAGGCCCCCTGGGGTCCGTAGCACCAAGCGCCGTCCCAAAATTCCTCCGTCCGTGAACCCACAATTTTTATGGCATTAATGCTATTGCTATGTGGGATCTCAATATCTCAGCTCTGGAAGGGTCTAGAGAGCCTCCATTTTTGCACTCAGGTATAAGTCTCATGGCCCTCTATCAGAATCCAGAGTTTCAAGACGATCAGAGATATAATGTAAAAAAAAATAATAATTTCATTTTTCATCTGGACGACTGGGACACAAACAATGCTTGTGCATGAGCAATAATCATACGAATGCCTAAGGTTTGTAATAACACAACAAATAGGCGTAAATCTGTGAAAATATCAAGATCCTGCTAAATAAAGCAAAAAAAAACATAAATGAGTGCATTTATTAGCATAAAAAAGCATTCAGAAAATATTATATTAAAAGCAATTTTAGTTCCAGCAGTTGTTAGTTCGCTTTAAATTGTAATATACCAAAGTGTGCTAAACAAAAATGCACATTTAACCCCCCTCGCATGTTCACGATTCTTCCCGCCCATTGGGAGTGATTGGCAGCTTCACCGACCAATAACAATGACTTGGATTTCAACTGACCAATCAAAATCTCAAGGGCAGGAAACCGGCGTTTCATGTTTCATAAACAAAACAGATAACATTGTATAACTGACAGTGTCACAACACTTGCAAAGTCTCAGTTGAAGAGAGGAACTTCTGTGGCATAAATATCAATGAAGATATACCTCCTAAATCTGAGTGCATAGTAAGTAAACTACTAACTTAGACTGGTGACTGGTCACTGGTTCAGCAGTTGACAGTTTATTGTCATGATGCTTGGAGGTTGATGGTTTACCAGTTTAAGGGGTTTAACCAATTATGTTGGGCTACAATTAGTCTGATTATGTGGACTGATGATTGTCTTTGTTCATCTTGGCTTTGCAGCACACATCCTCGACGCTATGAAGAGACTGTACTTGATCGAGCCGATCGTCGCGATTTACGCGTTTGCCAGTTTTATGGTGTATCCTCTCGTACAGCAGTACGTGTATCGCAGACTGTGGCTGGAGATCACAAACTCATCTTACCCGGTGTCCAACGACACTTCCCGATGCGCCGCCAACAGCAGCAACCACACCAGCCAACAAGAGGTAAGTAGGATCACAATCTGACACAATTATTAAGATATTTGGATCTTAAGCCACGCTTTAAACGGATGTCATTGCATTATAGCAACATTTCAAATCAAGAGTTGCTAGAGCTTTTCTCATAACTAACATTCTTTAGCAGTTGCTTTTCAACTAACTGGTCCCAGGATATTATGGTAACATTTCATTTTAATGTGCCCTTGTTACATTACTATAGTAATAATCCATTGTTATCCTATGACATTCATGGAACCAAAATACAATTTGGTTAAAATAAATGTTAATTTAAATTCCTTATCTGGACATGATATTAATCACAAGCTTGCAGAAAATAAATAAAATTTCATTTTAATGTGCCCTTGTTACATTACTATAGTAATAATCCATTGTTATCCTATGACATTCATGGAACCAAAATACAATTTGGTTAAAATAAATGTTAATTTAAATTCCTTATCTGGACATGATATTAATCACAAGCTTGCAGAAAATAAATAAAATGGGACAACTTTTTCAAATAACAAAATCTTGTTCTTCTTAAAGAGCAAAATCTTAAAGGAGTAGTTCACTTTAAAAAAAAAAACTTTGCTGATAAATAATTTACTCATTCATTTACTCATAATTTACTACCCTTTTCACTTGATAAGACCCTTATTCATCGCCTGGAATCGTTTAAAGCCCTTTGAACAGTTTGCAGTTTGCTCTGAAACTGTCTTTTGGACCTTGAACCGTTTGGTTACCAGTAAAGTTCATTATATGGAGAAAAATCCTGAAATGTTTTCATCAAAAACCTTAATTTCTTTTCGACTGAAGAAAGAAAGACATGGACATCTTGGATGACATGGGGGTGAGTAAATTATCAGCAAAAGTTTTTTTTAAAGTGAACCACTCTTTTAAGGCTTAGAACTTGCTTTTTCTTCCAAAATACAATAAGACGTTTTTTTTTTTTTGTTTGTTTGTTTGTTTTTTTGGCAGAGATTAACCCATAGGAAACAAACCGTTGTTGTTCCAATGTAAGTCTCAAAAATTCTTCAGAAAATCAAAATAATCATTAATATAGGATCAAAAACGCATGCATCAAAAAAATCTACATTTGTCACATAATGACACTTCTGGAAATATTTGAATCAATTTACACTTGGAATAATGAAGCCCATGACACACTAAGTTTAAACTGTCTTGCATCAATGAAACACCTGTGGACAAGTTCAAGAACAAAAAGCCATTCGGTTCATTGCTGAACATTCTGAATCTTAACTGTTGTCCATGGCAACACTGTTTAACAGACCGGAAAACACCCGGGAACTGTTTAATTTCTCTTGCCGTAGAAAGACAGAACCCTAATAAGTTAGTGAATAACTAAATAAGAAGTTAACTAATAACTCAAATCAATTTTCATGTCCATTATCACAAAATAAAAAAGTCTTGGTCAACCTGTCAGGGCTTATTTTAGTGTATCCCTTATACTATATACTTTGAGTAACACGTGTCATTGTTTTAAAGAACCGTCTGTTGTAGTGTAGTTATGGTCATTGATACCTAAGCACACACATCTGCGTTTCATTTCCTCTTTCTTTTCTTTTTTTTTTTTATAACTGTTCTTTTTTGTACCAGGAATTGCATCAGATGTCATAAGATACATATGCAGCAACAGAGTTTTGAATGGACATTGGTTTTATTTTGCTCTTCTTTTTTTCAGGAGGTGCAGAAAGCCGCTTCTCTGTTCTCTATGTTCAGTGAATTGTCTTCCTTGATCCCCAGTCTCATAGTGACCCTCCTCCTGGTGGCCTACAGTGATCAGCGCGGGCGAAGGATCACCATTATTATGCCCCTCGTTGGGTCTCTGATCTACACGCTTTCATTCCTGGCCGTCTCCTTCTTCGAGCTAAACCTGTATCTCCTCATTGGCGCCTCTTTTGTTAGTGCCCTCTTTGGTGGTATCAGCACCATGCTAGGCGGCTGCTTCGCCTACGTGGCCGATTTATGCGCGGACGACAAGCAGAAAACCATTCGCATGGCGGTGGTGGACATGATGATTGGCTTGTTGGCGGGTGTGGCGTCAATCTCCACTGGGTACTTCCTGCATGCGACCGGTTTCAACTGGCCTTTCTTCACGTCAGCCATGTTTCAGGTGGTTAACTTGCTATACGCTATCTTCCTCCTGGAGGAAACCAGGGTGATTGACAGCTCAGAGACTGTGGCTTGTTGCCAGGCCCTGAAGAAACTAGCATGTGGTATCTACTGCTTGTTTTCAGGAGAAAGTACTCGAAAAAAATGGGTTCTTGCGCTGCTGATTGTTACGTTTTCCTCCTTATCTTTTGTCAATACCGGGGGTTTGTCCATGACAACACTTTATGAACTCAATAAGCCGCTGTGCTGGACCGAGATCCTCGTGGGCTATGGCTCTGCGGCCAGCACCTCCATTTTCATCACTAGTTTTCTCGGTGTGTACTTGTTCTCTCTCTGCCTGCCTAACACAGCTATCGTCCTCATCGGGATGCTGTCAATCGTTATAAGCATGTTGATGACGGCTTTCGCAAAGACTACGCTTATGATGTTCCTCGGTGAGCATGCACGTTACACTAAAATGTTTTTGGGGTATCTTATAAAATTAATTGATTACAGTACAGTAGTCAACATTTGAAGTAGATCAAAATACAAGAATGGGTATTGTAACTTTGATAAAGTTTTGATCCACTTAAAATGTTGACTACTGTATATATATATATATATATATTAATGAATTAATTTGATAGCACTAATATATATATACTGTATATGTATGTGTGTATATTCCTTTCCCATTATCAATTTGAAAAGCACTAATAATTACTAAATAAAATAGCATAAATAATTAATTAGTAAGTAAATATACATTTTTCGGGTTCTACATGAAAATGCTATGATGCCTAATTTCACTTGACTTTACTTTTCAGTGTTTTGGGGGGTTTTTTAGACCAAAAATTTAACATTTTAATATCTATTTTATTTGTCGGACTTAACATGACAATAATTTATTGTACTGGCCAGAATTTTTATATAACTACATCCCAGTTTTTTTAGAGCCTTGGTAACAAGCATTTAGAGTCAAGAATGACTAAACCTTCAACAATGAATAAATCGCATAATTACAATTTTATAAGGCATCAGAGTCAAATAAATAATTGTATATGTGTGTGCTATCTCACAGCACAATTTTGTTCTTAATATACTGACTGTAAAAGTGGTATATGGTCCACTGCGTTTGTAGTTTTATATTATGGTGAGGATTTATAAAACTAATTAAGAGCAAACAGCAGCTGTTCCTGGATTACAGTGACCTCACGTATCTTATCGCATTTTATGCAATTATTATATGTAGGCTACATTAATCCTAAAGTTTGCTCTGATAACGGTCTGAACACAATTACACTGGTATCTGTACTAAAGTGTTAATTAATTTCATTATCAGATATCATCAGTGATCTGTTCTATATGTTGGACACCTTTTTTTGTTTTGGTAAATTAACTACACATATTAACCCAATATGACATAAACGTCAATGTGAGCTGTAAATTTGTAGCCATCTAAAACTAGGTAAAAATTCAGTAATTTTGGAGGCCTTGTTTGTTTAGTTTATGTGAGTATTGATGTGTTTGCTTACAGTAAGGATTCCTGCTATGTTTGCCATCATGCCGTTTCCCATCCTGCGTTCGATGATGTCAAAGGTCGTCTCAAAGTTCGAGCAGGGTGAGTGGCTCTCTGAAAAGCACTGTTCCAAATCAAAACTCCTGATTCAGCTTATTCATGCTGCTCATAAAAGCTCTTTTCTGCTCAAGAGATGTGTTTTTGTGTGACTATGCACCGCAAAGGCATTTCAAAGACAAGCCTTCTGTGAATTGCAAATTAATACACTGTGTACATTCTTCCTTTGAAAAGACAATCATGTATTTTCCTTGTTTGCCCTCTCAGGAGCGCTCTTTGCCTGTGTGGCTTTTATGGAAAACCTGAGCAGCAATGTGTCCTCTGCGGTTTTTAGCAAAATCTATGCAGAAACTGTAGCATGGTGTCCAGGCTTTGTCTTCCTATTGGGTGCTGGACTCAGTGTCATTCCCATAAGCCTACTGGGGTAAGAGTTGCTCTGAAACATAACCAGTTACTGATCTTTATAGAACGCTGAACCGTCTAAACTGCACTTTAAAGGGATAGTTCACTTTGAAATCATTTTAATATGTTTTAGCTAACTCGAGTGCATCCAAGATGTAGGTGTTTTTGTTTCTGCAGTAGTTTAAATTTTGATATTTTTAGGTCAAACCGTTGTTGTCTGTCAGTCATATAATGGAGGTCTATGGTCACCACCTCAAAGAGCATGCACAGAGAAGTCCAAATTAAACATGATTTAATGACTCGTAAATGTAAGTACACATTGATGGCCTAAGACACGAAACGAGCGGTTTGTGTGAGAAAACGAACGGTATTTAAATCGTTTTTACCTCTTGTTACCACAGCCACAAAGCGCCCGCGGATCACTTGAACAGGGCTGTGGTTACAAGAGGTAAAAACTATATAAATACCGTTCGTTTTCTCACACAAACCGCTCGTTTGACCTAAAAATGTAAAAATTGAAGCTACTGCAGAAACAAGGGCACGTACTGTACATCTTGGATGCCCTTGAGGTAAGCTAAAAGATATCAAATTAATTTCAAAGTGAACTATCCCTTTAAAATGAGTGCTGATTATGTAGCACTTTGGGTATGAGAAAAGTGTTATTATGTTATTAATGTTAATATATCAAAATCTTTTTTTTTTTTTTTTAAGACCCAAAGATTACTTGGTTATCCTGTTTCTGGCAGATGCCAGATCTTTTTTAGACACTTATCACTATGTTTGTAAAAAAAATCTGGTAACTTTTTAGTACCAAAATTAAAATTCTACCCAATGCTAATAATAAGCAAATAATTATTTTCACTTTAGGGCTGATACTGATCTGTCTGATATTAAAACTCTACGCTTTTATGTAATTCTATAATTTTATCTGAAAAAATGAAATATAAAACACTAAAAACTAAACTCAATCCATTTTAAAGTGCCACTATTATGCTGTTTCGAATATGACCTTTCTTGCTTAGTAAAATATAGCTGTTTGTGAATGTGAAAGTGTCTGCCTGTAAAGCTTTGTAGCTGAGGCCTGGAAGAGTTTGTTTTGTGTTTTTATCATGTAGACACGTCACTGTTTTCTACGGTTCACTTCCAAAGAATGACGACTTGCACTGTCTGGAATTCATACTTTCCAGTCACATGACTACAATTAATGCCTGGCGGGCAACAAACGGGTATTTTAAACGGAGAGTCCTGTAGTTCCAGGTCTTTCTACATTTACATTTATTAATTTAGCTGACGCTTTTATCCAAAGCGACTTACAATTCCTTTATATGTCAGAGGTTGCACGCCTCTGGAGCAACTAAGGGTTAAGTGTCTTCTCAGGGACACATTGGTGTCTCACAGTGGATTCGAATCCAGGTCTCTCACACCAAAGGCATGTGTCCTATCCACTGTGCCATCACCACCCCAAAGTGTGGTAGACCTAAGGTATGAGACCTCCAAAACAAAATTAGAAACCTTTAAAATAGCAAAAGAGGGGCACTTTAAATGCTACAAGTGATATAGGCATCACATTATATACAATATGAAAAGGATTTTGAGATTTGCTAAAGATTACATTTGACATTGTTATTAAATTATTAGTGTTTGGATAATCTAAACATGAAAATAGGAAATTGGCAATTAAATATCCAATATAAGCCGATACCAATACATTAAAAATTAGGACTGCTGTACTGTGTATTCCTACTTTTTTTTAAATTAAATTACAATTACACTCAGTTTTGTTTCGTATGATATGATTTTAGGTCAGGAAAACACCTTGTTGGACCCGTTGGTTATTCTTAACCGTTGGTTCTTCAGTGAACATAGGCTGTAGTTCCTCATTTACATTTCCTCTTTGCCATTTTGCTTCTGCTGCATGTATTTGTTAAACATGAGGGCGTGTAGTTAACAATGCTGATTCATTCTGACTCTGTCTCACTCTAGCATCCTTAGGTTTTTCCATCCATTGGATTCTAATGACACTCAAGCACTTTTATCAGAAGATGGGACAGAAGCTTCAGACGACCCACCTGTAGCTTAAATCCAAAGGGAGTTCAAATACCTCAGTCATTCACTTCAAATCCCCTGTGTGTTTATTTACTTTCCTCATACTGACACAGGGAGATAAACTAAGAACTGGATACAACTGAGCACATGTGAAGCCAAAAGTCTGTTATTAGTATTTTCAGCCATAAATATGTTTTTTTTTTTTTTTTTCGTGAAATGCAGTATATGATAATAGTGGTTTTAGGGAAGATCACAAAAGAAGGGAACATAATTTTATATTTCTAAAAGGGAATATATTTAATAATAGTAATTTCAGTTTGCATTTCTAAAAGGAAACATTAGCAGCTTGCAAGGCTGCAACAAAATGGGATTGAAGTTTAAGGTACGCTAAGTTAAATTTTAAGGTTCTGTGTCATCTGCAAACAAGAATCAATGCATATTAACTGTGAAAGGCTTCTATAAATGTTTAAATCTATGCAATGAAGATAAGTCCAATCACAATTCAGGAAGCAAATAGATGTAAGAAAGAAGACCAGTCAAATTTAGTATGCAAATATACCAATGAAACCATCACTTGCAATATTCTTTAAAGAAATGTAAGATTAAATGTCGAAAATCAAGGTTATTCTGAATTCATTAGTTGTATGTACTACTGAATTAATTGCAGACGTGTATTACTTAGAAGAAATATCAGTACATGGCTGCCTTACAAGTACAGTAATTATCTAAAGTTTGGACTGATGTGCAATACGTTCTTGTTCTGTTTAGAGTAAAAGATTTATACATTTTATAAGACACAATTTCAGATGTTTTTTTTTTTTTTTGTTGTTATCTCTGCTTTTTAAAGTGTGGCAGGTTTTCAATAGTGTCACACTGGTCTCAGGTCTGAGTCGTGAGCAATTCAGTCTGGCTCTGATCTACCATTCACCTTTTATGGGCCTGTTGTCCTGTGTAATGTGGTGTGGTGCTAAATTGATGTGTTCTAGATAACATTCTATACTCCAAAAAACAAATCGATTGGTGTAGATCTGTTTACTTTGTTTGGATGCTTTGCAGTGGAAAAAAAAAGATTTTTGAGGACTGGGTAGATTGATTTTTGTACGTATACCCCATACTTGTGCTCCTACGCACTGAAACCATACGCAATTGGAAAGCATACTGAACTATTACTACTAAAACAAACCAGTCCAGCTCATCTATTTATACAAACATGCTCAAACCCTACTATGGAAACAAAGTTTTTTATATAATAAAATAAAATTGCTATAAATCAAATGGCTTCTGCTTTGAGTTGGTCTATCAATTTTACAGGCTTTCACAGGCCCAGTGATGTGTTATTAGCAACATACTAATGCTTTTCAGGTTAAAAGGTGATAGAAATTATTCTTATTGTTATGATCAGCTAATTAATTTGCTAATTTAGTGTCTGTCTGCCAAATTAATTCAAATAAATTAACTAGAAAATGCTGTTTAGGAGTCCAAAATCTCTGCATGTACACCACTATTGTCTTAATTTAACATTTTTGTTGAAATAATATTTGTTTTATTGAACATTTTCTGTGCGCTTCGTGTCCTGAAGGTGGCAGTATAGATACATATATAAAAACGGCAGACGGAAGGTAGACTATATTGCTGATTTTTTTTTTTTACGTGAAACTACTTTTAGTTTTATTTACATTATTTTTCTATGGCAGAAATATTCAGAGTAGTATGTGCTTCCAAATTCAGCATTTATATGTCTAAGCAAAGTTTGAATGTTTATTGATTGGTTGTTTTAGGTCATTAAAAAAAGACTTTTATTTAGCATACACTCATGATAGGCTATACGATTTCTTTGTTGACAAAACATTTTTTTTGAATATTAAAAAAAAATCGATTTTTAAGCAAAAAGTAACAGTGGAATATATGATGCAATACATTTTTGTTCTGGGAAAAATAAACAGTGTGAATACACAATGGAAATTTGAAGTGTCCAAAAGTGGTGATCAAAACCACAACCTTTCCAAAGAGAAATAGTGTGATCCTGTGTATAAATGCAGAAATCCACTGACGTCTGTCCTGCCACACCTCCCCATGGGTTTGATTTCCAAGCCCCCTCATGATGAGAGGTCATAGATCTGCAGATCTTCGTAATTGTGCAGTCAGAGTGTCTGCCGGGTGAAAGTATGATAAATCTGAAGTGGAGGGGTGGTGGGCTTCTCTGGTTTCCAAAATGAGACTCAACATGATCTACCTTACCACAGACTGCCATCTCCCCCTCACCCTATTTATTTCCCTCTCTCATTTCTCTCTTTTAATCTATGTACTTCTCCTTTTGCTTTCTCTCCTTTCTATGAATTCTCACCATCCATATACAGACACGTTTTATTTGATCTTTATTCAGATGCACACACACACACACACATCCCTGATTCACAACCCCCTGCACTTCTTGGCTGGCTTAGCCAGATAACACTCGCACCCACACGCCACACAGGGATGAAAAGCATCCAGGCTCCTAACAAACAGTTGGACCCTTCCCTTAACGGACACATCTGGGGCTTGTTGGACACAGATGTTTCTGCAGGCCCACGCCCCACAACAGGGGTTAGAGGCACAAGCTTGTGTCACATAAGGTAATGTGAACACTTTTTGCAAGCACTGCAACATACACTTAAATGGACAGTTCACCCCGAAATGAAAATTCACCCTCACACTTAAAACTCACATTGTTTCAAAACTTGACTCTCATTTTTTTTGTTTCTGTTGCCCTTACAATTGAAATCAGTTGTCACCAAAACTGTGGTTAAATGATGACAAAATTTTAATTTTTCCTACAAACTATCCCTTTTAAAAACAGTGGACGAAGGGCAAATAAGCTCCAAATTATAAGCTCCAAATCTCAAACTCTAAACCTACCCTTAAAATCAGCAACGCACTGCATGGCTTGCTTATATGTGAGAGAGAATGTATTTTAACATAAAAAGAAATAACTAATTATCAACTCAGGCTCAAGTAGAAGTCAAGAGGGGCTGAGTCTCAAAGAAGATAGACTGATATTCTCCAGTGGTGCGTGTGTGGAGCTAGTAGTCAGTGGAACTATATTGGATTCTGGCAGCCGCATCTGTCTTGGACACTTCACATGCTGTGCTGGCCAAAGGATTAAGTGTAAATACATATTCTGAGTAATGACTAGATAACTGCCACAGCGTGTTTGCAGTATTTTACTATTGTGATTTATATCTTGCCATTGGCTGGGTTCATCTACTACATCTAGATCAGAACCAGGACAGCTATGAGAGTATGAGAAATTCTTCTCTGCTATCAGAGGCCGTCATGAAAAGAGCATTTAAAACGTAATAAGTACTAATGTTGTAAATGTATTTTTCATGTATATATGTTTTAAGACGTTATTTTCGATTTGATCAAGAACGTAAACTTGCCAACGCTGTTTGGTAGCCAGTCATTTGCTATTGTTGCCAGTCAGATGCTATTGTGTAAAACAAACGTATAAAGTTAAAAAAATGTAGCAAATTATCATTCAGAAACGTTTAGTAGGAGCCGTGTGTGGTGAAGTTCTGTTTGACTCTCTTCATCGCGGCTTTCTCGGTCTGATTCTGCCTCAAACTGATACAACAGTTCGATATTTACATCTGGACCGAAGCTAATGACATGCACATTTCGCCCGTAATGGTAATGGGCGTTAACCTTCCGGACAATGTGAGCGACAGTTTAGCCAATCACAACACACCGGGCTAAACTAACCAATCTGAGACCACTGCCTGTTTGAGCGAGTGCTTTCATAACTCAGGAAGTCGTTCGAGGACAGAAGAGAGCACGGCTGACAATAAAGGTGAAGTTTATGAAAAATAAGACTTTTAAAAAAAGAAAAACCACGAATACATGTTATATTGCACCCCAAAGGTGAAGTTTACGAAAAATAAGACTATTAAAAAAAGAAAAAAACACGAATGTTATATTGCACCCCATAAACACAATCATGCAAAGAAAAAAAGCAGTCACTTCAGCAGATTGCCTTGACCATGCCTAAATGCATAGAGTTACTGTCATGTGATTAGATATGATCATCTAATTAGATAGACATTAATGAGCAGTTGCATACGTGTACCTAAGAAAGTGGCTGGTGAGTATACTGTATATTGGCATTGTTGCCAATTTCTCAGTCTTTTACCCTTTTGCTTCCCTTTAACTGAAAGGTCAAAACGTTGTGTTTTAGCTCTCCTGTCGCTATACTCTTTGCTCTCCCCATGTAATTTCTTACAGGCTTGTTTGTATTTAGCTGACGCTCTAGCAGTGGGTGAATGCTTTGTGCCTCACCCATAATTACAATGTTTCAATGCCCTGCAGCTTTGCTCTGTGGGAGGGTGAGCTTCACTTACTGTAGCTCACTATATCACTGCAAAGACAGAGAGGATACTACGTCTGTGCCTAATAATTGTGTAATTGTGTGTCCTCAGTATACATCTGTTGCATGTAGCTAACAATTTCTCTTTCTTAATGACAAGATACTGTAATTTTGTATAATATTAGTTAAACAGAGCGCTTATACGACCATTGTGACACTGAAGACTGAGCATTTAGCGTTGATCATAGGAATAATTATAGCACTTTTAAAAATATTAAAACCAAAAATTGTAATAATATTTCACAATAATATTGTTTTACTGCATTTTCGACTTCTAAATATTAAGATACTTCTTTCAAAATCATTCAAAAAAAATCTTACAGACTATAAATTCTACAATATCGCTCCTTTTATTTTCACGGAAGAAAGAAAGTCCAACAGGTTTGGACCAACATGACGGTAAGGAGTAAATAATGAGAGACAATTTCCATTTTTGGACGAACTGTCCCTTAACCTAACCATTTTGTCCAGATTTTATTTATGCAGCTCATGTTTCAATGCCAGCAATAAGCTCACCATGAAAACCAGCACCATCTCACATTGCCAGGATATGTGGAGGGTCCTGTTCCTTGCTTCTGTCTTCCATCTCCTCTCTAACCACATTGGTGTTACAAATTGACAGACTATTTATTTTCAATCTCAAATATAGATCAGCACTCTACGTTTCAAAACCACAGTGCCCGGTCCACCATTGGCCCGGCTGTCTCTACCACTCAATCCCAATCTGAGGAATCTCAAGGCCAGCCCACCTCTGCCGTTCTGCCCCAGGAGGAGTGAGTCTCATGTCATGTGAACCTCAGGTCAGTCCAAGCACAGCTGCTTCATCTCCTCTGACAGGCGACATTGTTCTTGCAATCTAGTCCTTTTTATAACGCAGAGGAGGAAACCATCCTTCCGTGTTTTGAGAGCATGACTTTTCTTGATGTCTCAGTTGTGGTTTATATTTAGGAGACTGATGAAATCATTTTTATGCACTCTGTGCAAAAAGACATACATTTAAATTTGAATCATAAGCAATGCAGAGGTGCAGGATGGAATAGGAAGCAGTAGAAAACAATGACAAATTATGTCTGTGCTTTATTTAGGTGAACGTGATTTCACCAAGAACAACATTACTCAGTTACACTCAATGACGCTTATCTACTTTACATTGCTGATTATGTGCAGTATATTTAGATCTGCAATATTATGATTCACAGCACTCTTCATGCACAACAGTCATGAAAAGGTTAGTGTGTCAATCAATAAATATTTAATTCCCATCCCGTCTGTGGGACCCTTCATGCTACGTGCCATGAATTCTTGCTGCATCCATACAGTTCAATTCATGCTCAGGCGCAGGGCATTTCATTGTCAATTGATTGCTTTGCATTTCATTGTCTATTGATTGCATATATATATAAATATATATATGAATATACATATATTATCATCTTATGGCAAATATTACTGGCCGATATTAAAATTCTATACTATTTTGTCTAAGTAAAATAAAAAATAAAACACAAACTATATCTTTTAAATACTACAAGTGAATTAGAAAGTACACACTTTTTTTTTTTTGATTAACTTTGCCACTATTCAAAAGTTTGTTTGCTAGAAAAATTCTTCTTTTCAAGATAATTCAGTTTTTCTTTACTGCACCAATGGTGTTCCTTGAAGAACATATAGTTGTGTTTTTCATCATCTTTTATCACAATTTCATTGCATAGGCATTTTGGCCAAAAATTGCCCTGTTGTCATAAACTTTTGGATCCGTTCAACCCTTGACACTCTCTCCCTCCCATTCTCCATAGATCTAATGTGTAAGACATTTTAAACCATGTAAAGTCTGTTTTGCCTATTACCAAGGAATTCTACTGGAATAATGTCAT